TCACCGTATAAATTGTGGATATTTTAGGTGGAGAGGATCCAGCTGCAAGTGGCATATAGGATGCCAACAATTTTATTTTGGAAAATGCTCTGATATTGTGACATCGGGGTAGAGGATTTTTAGGACGAAATATTTATGTGAATTTGGTACTGTAATATTATTTTGAAAACAATTTGTAAAAATAACTCTTGAATTTTATGTTTTATATTTCTATTAATCAGGTTGTTCAAAGTTTCTCATGTGAACCCTTTTACTGTAATTGAAAGATTTATTACACTATATGTGTTGGGGTAGTAAGGGTGTCACATATAATACATACATACATACATACACATATATATGTGTGTGTAGTTGGTATGTATAATATTTTAAAACTTGTATAAAAATGCTTATTTAGTATTCATGATATCAATCACAATAGAAAAATAAAATAAAATGTATATTATTATGCTTAAATTTTAAAAAAAATATTAGTAATTGATTTTATAGTCATAGAACTAAAATTTAACCCGTCGTCAAATATCATAATAAGAATAAAAGATCACAAAACTATTTTTATTTTTGTATCATTGTATTTTTTTTATATTATTCTCAATATTTATCAATATAAATCTTGTTGATGATTGATTAGACTAAAACAACTTCATGTTATGCCAATTAATCAAGTGATGATTTGTGTTGATTGAATGTTATTAAGTACAAATTATCTTTTAACTTTTTTTATAAATTAATTCAAAATTATAATCACATTTACAAATTAAATATCATAACATCAAATAAATTAACATGTTAAAGTTTTAATAAAAAATCAAAATTAAATTATATTTTATTTATTGATCGATGATTACTTTGACAACTACTAAAACTAGTCTCTTCTTCTATTTTAGTGAAATGTATCTTTATTTATTAAAAAAAATTAATAGAAAATAATTTAAATAGACTAATTTGTTAAAATATTGTTGAATTATTTTATCAACTTAAATTCTCTCATGTTTCTGTATTTTTCTAGATCGAGTTTAAACAATTAAATATGTTTATTTAAGTATTTTTTTTTCTATAATCATATGTATTTTACTTATGTAAAGATTGCAAATTATTGTGTAGGATGAGAGAAAAAGAAATAGATCTCTTATTTTATAGACTCCGTTAGGTCATTTTCATAAGAATAAATTACCTAATTTATTATGATTAAAAAATTAGTTAATTTAGTTTATTACATTAAATTTATCTTAAATCTATCATTCTCTAAAATTATTCCTAATATTAATAAGACGTTTACTCTACCAACTCAATTAAGAAAAATATATTAACTATGTATAATTTTTTGTAATTTTTTTTTTAATGTAATACATATTTGATATTGATTATTAAAAACAAAAAACACTCATAGGTCTTATAAAAAGATGGAATGAAGCGATATAGATATCATGCTAATTTAGCAAAGATGTTGGACAATTCGACAAAATTTAACGAAAAGTTTTATCAATTGGAAATAAACAATTTGCAAATATTTTTTTCTCTAAAGGATTAAATATTAAGTTTTTATGTAAAAATAAAAATGAAAATGATTTGAATCAAATTTATAAATTAATTATTATTAATTTATTTCATAAAATTTAAAGAAATTTGAAGGTAATTAAAAGGCATGTTGTCTCTTCTTCTCAATCATATTTTTCTTACACAAGTTATGGTTTGAAGTGTTATCTACTCATTCAATAGAACTCAATACATCACTGTTTAGATCAATCAATTGATAAGCTTTAATGCAAAAGTGTCGGTCATCATGGATTAACACAAATGATCCACATTTGGTTTAAACTTACATATCCTATGACACAAGTTTGACATTTTTTGTGACCATTAAAATCCTATTTTTGTTGATATACTTAATCAAGGAGATTCCTTAATGATAGATGTGAGAATTCTTCAATTGGTCTCTACTAGTCCTCAGTTTGACAAGTAAAGTGTTGAGTCAAATTGAACAACACTGGATCTAGACAAACTATTTTATAGATAGTGATGCTTAGTCTGTAACGACCTGCCTTAGGCCGTCACATCAACAATCAATAAGACAACTAAAATAAAATAATATATATTAAAGAAAATAGAACAAAGGCCAGCTACACTAGAGTGTAAATATACAATAACATAGAAATTGTTTTCATCATATAAAACATAATTTTATAAAAGAGTCATCCTCAGCAAGGTTATACAGTAATCTAAAAAGATAATATAATTACAACATCATGAAAGTATCAAAATAAAACACCTTAGGTGCAGGTCAAGCTCTTATTCTAGCCACTTCTCAAAGAAGTTACCCAAAAAGACTCCTAGCCATCCCAAAGCCTCACACCTGATCTGCTCTCCCACATAGTGAGATTATCACAGTTCACAGCCACATCATGGAAATATAAGGGTTAGCACGTATAAAACCAACCATAGTACAATAAAATGAAATATCATTAAACTAGATATTCATCAACAGTATGTATCCATACCAAGGGAATGACAACATTATAACAAGTCATTTCCATGCCAAATATAAACCAATCCAAAATCCAATGTATACACATCCATGCCAATGCATACATATTCTATGATAATAAAGAATCCATAACCAATGTATACAATCCATACCAAATGCATACATATTCCACATCCAAACCAAAGTCACACCACTGTATAATCCCATGAAGTAGCCAACACATCCAAACCAAATGTTGGCCTCAATACATCCAAACCAAGTGTTGAATTTGTGAACATGTCATCTACCCATGTCACACACCTCAACTCTCATGGAAAATATACAGTTGGGTTACGTCGTCACATAACCCTGGTGATCATGGCCACTTCATCCATCGGTATGACTCGGCCTTGCCCCCATACCGGTAGCAAATAGAATACTTAGAGGAGTACTTCAGAATCCACCTAACATCTGAAGTGGTTTATTATATAATCTTTGAAAAAGTTCCATATTGGAATCCTCACCATGGGACTCCCAAATTCCATATTTTCCCAAAGATTATATCCTGATCTCATTAAGAGATCTCCCAATCCATACCACAACCTTACTCCTCTAAGTCCTATTAGCTTTCCAAACCAAACACACATAGCATATTCCATAATTACATACAAACTTTTCCATAGCCATGCCAAATTACTCAATATAACAACATAAATAATTAAACACCCAAAACAACTACAACTTAACCAAATCACTCTTTGTGAAATGAAAATCTTCACATAAAACAACATATCAAGAGTTATATTACTCCTATCATGCTCATCTTTATCTCATATGAAATATAAGATTTCCTACAACTCTTATGAAGACATCAAGTCCTAATTCTATCATCTACTTTGTTAAAAATTCTAAAAACCGCAACAGCTATAACCAATGCTGGCAGCTTGACCCTTATTAACTAAAACAGTCATATCTGGAGTTCTAGACACCTTTTTGGGTGATTCCAATGCCATTGGAAAGTTAACATCCAAGGCTATAACTTTCATGAAGACTTCAAGACCAACATACTCACGCCCGACGCACTAATATCCCGCCGGGCGCAAAACTCAAACAGAGACCTACAGAGGTCATTGCGCCCGATGCAATATCAGTAACCAAAACACAAGGACCACGTTTAATAGTGCACTCGGCATGGTTCTCCCCACGCCCGACGTGGTTCACCCAGGGATTCTCATTTCAAATTGCGCCCGACGCGACTAACATCGCGCCCGGCGTGATTTGGCAATGATGGTCTTTAATGAATTCATGCCCGACGCCAATAACTGCGCCCGGCGCATTTACAACCAGAAACCCTCGAAAACCTCAAAAATTCCTTCCAATCATGAATCCAATCCAAATTACATGAGTTCAAACCATTATAAAGCATAAACAATATCCAAAAACAACATTTTAAGCAATAAAATCAAGTGTTAACCATTAATCCATGGAAATCATGAAGAAACCCCAACCAAAACCCTTTCCCCTCAATCCATCCTTAATCAAGCATAAATCATGCAATTAATATGATATTTCAAACCCACAGATACTAGTTTAAGTCTTATAAGTACTACCCTTACCTTAGAAACCTCATAAATGCAAGATTTAGACAAAACCCTCAAATCCCAACTCAAACTTTAATCTCACTTTTCAAGCTTGTAGAGGCTAAATCTCTTAATACTCTAGTTGTGAAGATTGATCCTGACTTGATAAGCTTCCCAAATGTGTCCTCAGGTTCCCTCTGGACCAGAGCAACTCTCTCTACTTCCTCTCTCTAGAAATTGTCTCTGTTTGATAAATGAGATCCTCCGGTCCTAAGTCCCTATATATAGCCCTTTTCCAAATTTTCCAAATTTCACCCTTAGCACCTATTCACCTCAAATATTCTATTCCTTGATGTATTTCAACTCCCTAAGCTCTAAAACAACATCAAATTCACTCAGAAAGACCAGATTTATCTTATGTTCCTATCCTTCAATCTCCTACCCATCCTATTCCTTTCCATGAAATACTCACAACTCACCACCATATGAAATGCAACATGTATTAACACACAAACAAACATCACTTTCAGATGCATATGCTTGGAATATTGAGTTGCATGCCATAATACTTCACTTAACCAAGATGAGAAAGAAGGTGATCAGTCTTCTTCCCTCTTAGTACCAATTTAGTATAATGGTGTACAATGCATCATTCACCAAATTCATGCACACACATGCCTATATAAACCTCTCAAAACATCAACCTCTCATCTCATACTATAAAATCACTACCATGCTCAAACAACTAATCAAAACCACATCAACATACAAAATGCACATAGGTAAGTACATTTCAAATCCACATGTCCATAATCCAATCCAAATCCATATAAACAACATATACATGCATGCATACATACATACATATATATATAGAGAGTATATCTACCAAATAGCTCGGTATTTCCATGGCGTTACAACTTTTCCCAACAACAAAAATTTTCGTCCCCGAAAATTCACTTACTCAAAAAGAGATATGGGTATTGATCCTTCATCCTATCTTCCAACTCCCAAGTAGCTTCATTAGTAACCTCATCCCAAATAACCTTTACCAAATTGATAGATTTACCCCGCAACTGTGTAACTTTCTTATCTACCACTGAGACTGGCTGTTTCTCAAAAGTTAAATTCTCCTTAATTTGCACTGCCTCTAATTCTAAGACTTGACTCAGATCGTGAATATACTTCCTCAGTTGTGAAACATGGAACACATCATGCAATTTAGACAAGAATGGAGGTAATGCAATTTGATATGCCACTGATCCAATCCTCTTGAGAATCTGATACGACCTAATAAACTTAGTATTCAACTTCTTAGCTTTAATAGCTCTTCCCACACCTGTGGTAGGAGTTACCTTCAAAACTATATGTTCTCCCTCTGAAATCTCCAAAGGTTTCCTCCTCTTGTCTGCATAAGACTTTTGCCTACTCTGAGCAACTTTCATTCTTTCCTGAATTTGTTTCACTTTTTGGTAGTCTGTAAGATAATCTCTAGCCCCACCATCATTGATTCTCCCTTTTTAAACCAACACAAAGGTGTTCGACACTTCCTCCCATACAGAGCCTCAAATGGTGCCATTCCTATACTTGCATGAAAACTGTTATTATAAGTGAACTCGACCAAAGGCAACATTTCTTCCCAACTCCCTAGATGATCCAAAATACAAGCCCTCAACAAGTCCTCCAAAGATTGGATAGTCCTCTCAGACTGCCCATCAGTCTGTGGGTGATAAGCAGAACTGAGTCTCAACTTAGTCCCAAATGCCTGGTGCAAACTCTGCCAAAATCGGGAGGTAAAACGAGGATCCTTATCAGAGATGATACTGGAGGGCACACCATGTAATCTAACTATCTCCTTAACATACAACTGAGTTAACTTTTCCAAGGACCATTTTATATTCACTAGAAGAAAATGAGCACACTTAGTTAATCTATCCACGATCACCCAAATAGAATCACAATTCTTAGCAGACCTTGGCAAACCAACAACAAAATCCATGGCGATACTATCCCATTTCCATTCTGGCACTTCTATCATCTATAACGAACCTCCTGGTTTTTTATGTTCTACCTTAGCTTTTTGACACACAATGCAAGTTGCAACATACTCGGCCAACTCCTTTTTCATACCATTCCACCAAAACATTCTCTTCAAATCTTAATACATTTTTGTCATACCCGGATGTACACTCAACTTGCTTTTATGACCTTCTTCAAGTATCAACTTCTTCAACTCTTCATCCTGTGGAATACAAAGTCTGCCCTTGTACCTCAAAACTCCATCCACATCTTGTTCAAATCCTTCAGCTTTCTCAGAACCCAACAACTTTCTAACCTTATTCAAACCCGCATCCTAAACTTGTTTTTGTTTCACCATTTCCAAGAAATCACTAGTAATGGTAGTCATACCACAACTAATAAGGTCTGGAGCAACCAAAATGTTAAGATTCATATCCCTGAATTTCTCTACTAACTCCATCTCTTTAACCATCATGTAAGACATATGAAGAGATTTTTTGCTCAAAGCATCTGCTACCACATTCGCTTTACCTGGATGGTACATTAATTAAAAGTCATAATCTTTCAAAAACTCAATCCACCTCCTTTGCCTCATATTTAACTCTTTCTGATCAAACAAATATTTTAGACTCTTATGATCACTGAACACATCAAACTTTGCTCCATGGAGATAATTCCTCCAAATCTTCAAAGCAAAAAACACCGTAGCCAACTCTAGATCATGCGTAGGATAATTACGTTCATAGGTCTTTAATTGTCTAGATGCATAGGCCACAACTCGCCTATCTTGCATAAGAACACATCCTAAGCCTTGATGAGATGCATCACAATAAACTTCAAAAGATTTATTGGGATCAGGCAGAATCAACATAGGAGATGACGTCAACTTTTCCTTTAACTCTTGAAAACTCTTCTCACACTCCTCCGTCCATACAAAAGGATGATCCTTCCTGGTTAGTTGTGTCAAAGGTATAACTATTTTAGAAAACCCTTCTATGAATCTCCTATAATAGCTAGCTAATCCCACAAAACCTTTAACTTCAGTAACTGATTTCAAACGCTCCCACCTCAAAACTGCTTCCACCTTAGTAGGATCAACTGCAATTCCTTGTGTAGAAATCACATGACCTAAGGACTTAACTTCAAATAGCTAAAACTCACATTTTGGCAACTTTACAAATAATTGTTTCTCCTTCAATACTTGCAAAACTATCCTCAAATGTTCTTCCATAGATTCAGAATAAACTAAAATGTCATCAACGAACACCACAACAAACTTATCCAAAAAGGGTCTGAAAATCCTGTTCATATAATCCATGAAAATAACTGGAGCATTCGTCACTCCAAAAGGCATAACGACATACTAATAATGGCCATACCGAGTCTTGAAAGCAGTCTTTGGTATGTCTTCCTCCTTTACCCAAATCTGGTGATATCCAGACCTCAAATCAATCTTAGAGAACACAGAAGCTCCCCTCAACTGATCCATCAAATCATCTATCCTTGGCAATGGATACTTATTCTTGATTGTCAACTTATTTAATTGCCTGTAATCCACACATAACCTCACGCCACCATCCTTCTTCTTTACCAATAACACGGGTGCTCCCCACAGAGACACACTAGGTCTGATCATCTACTTCTCCAAAAGTTCCTAAACCTGCTTCTTCAATTTAGATAACTCTGTTGGTGCCATTCTATAAGGAGAAATAGACACTGGTCTCGCCCCTGATATAAGATCAATACTAAACTCCAACTCTCGCTTTGGTGGTAACCCCGAAACATCATCCGGAAAAACCTTTGGGAAATCTCTAACAACATCAATACTATTCAACAACTTTTCATTCTCTAAACTGATAAAAGATAGGATCATAAACCCAAGAGCTCCACCCTTCAACAACCCATCTACCTGTCCGCTAGAAATAAATCTCTCTTGTTCAACAGTAGGAAGATTAATCTCTTCTATGAACAATCTATCAAAATCCTATTGGCAGAAAGCCAATCCATCCCTAAAATCACATCCAAACCAGATAAAGGTAAACAAAACAAATTCATTTAATAACAACGACCTTCCACCTCCACTAGACATCTCAAACAAACCTCAGAAGTCAAAAAAGACCCCGAAGCTGGGGTAGAAACGACTAGATCCACACGCAAGGAACTCACAACCAAACTTAACCTTGCCACACATTCATAAGAAATAAAAGAATGTGAAGCACCATAATCAAATAGAATAGAAATATCATTACCATCAGCTTTGCCTTTTCCATTTACCAATTCAGATGATGTTTTAGGTTCAGCACCTGTTAAAGCAAAAACACGACCTGCTGCAGTAGGCCGATCCACTTTCTGGTTTCCTCTAGCTTGATTATTTCTTACATTGCAATCCTTATCCATGTGACCCACCTTCCCACATTTAAAACACACGTAGTCCTTTGTAGGACAATATCTCATCATGTGTGGGCCTCCACATCTGTAACATCTGAAACTTTGAACAGTTCCTGTGGCAGTAGTCCCCATTGTTTTCTTATTAGCATTCCCCTTCTGAAACTAAGATGGTCTCTTTTGGGGATGTTTCCCCTTACCAAATCTAGATGACCCCTCTGGACCCTTTGTCACTTTATTTCCTCCTTCAAACCTCTCAACTGTTTTTGCCTTTTCAACTAGAACTGGGAACTCCACAATCCCCATAGGAACAATAGTCTTCTTCAGCTCATACCTTAAACCCTCACTAAACTTCTTACACCTCCAGGCTTCAGTGATAGCTTGAGAATAATATCTAGCCAAGTGTTCAAACTTGACAACATATTCTTGCACTGACATATTCCCTTGCTGCAGTCTCAAAAACTCAGCTTCCTTATCATACCTGGCTCTATATGGAAAATATTTCTCCAGGACACCCTTCTGAAGTTCTCCCAATTCACCACTTCCCCTCTAACTTCCATCATAGCTTGAGCACCTTTCCACTAGAAACTAGCCTCACCCACCAGTAAATAAACAGTATAAACTAGTTTTCTCTCCTCTGAACAATGCATCACCATGAAGATTTTCTCCATCTCCTCAATCCACTAGTCAACAACTACAGGCCTATCCACACCAGTAAATTGAAGAGGATTCCCTTTTCTAAACTTTGACAAACCCCTGTACTCGTCAGGTACATCAGCCCTAGCTACTTCAGCTGCAGCCCGGTTGGTCTCCATCTGAGCCAACAAAGAATTTAGTTGTCCAATAGCAACAGCAATCAGCTCCATAGCTTAAGCAATATGCCGCTCATCCACGTCTGAAGAAGGATTAGAATGGTTTCTCCTACCAACCATCCTAATCAAGATAAAAGATCAAGGAACCCGTGTGTTTACACTAAAACACATAAGAAATTCCTTTCCAAAAATCCATTTCCTCACAACAGAACATAACAAGACCATTTCCCACAAACCCCAATGAGACTTGACCAGCTCTGATACCAACAAGTGTAACGACCCGCCTTAGGCCGTCACATCAACAACCAATAAGACAACTAAAATAAAATAATATATATTAAAGAAAATATAGCAAAGGCCAACTACACTAGAGTGTAAATATACAATAATGTAGAAATTGTTTTCATCATATAAAACATAATTTTATAAAAGAGTCATCCTCAGCAAGGTTATACAGTAATCCAAAAAGATAATATAATTACAACATCATGAAAGTATCAAAATAAAACACCCTAGGTGCTGGTCAAGCTCTAAGTCTAGCCACTTCTCAAAGAAGTTACCCAAAAAGACTCCTAGCCATCCCAAAGCCTCACACCTGATCTGCTCCTCCACATAGTGAGATCATCACAGTTCACATCATGGAAATATAAGGGTTAGCACGTATAAAACCAATCATAGTACAATAAAATGAAATATCATTAAACTAGATATTCATCAACAATATGTATCCATACCAAGGGAATGACAACATTATAACAAGTCATTTTCATGCCAAATATAAACCAATCCAAAATCCAATGTATACACATCCATCCCAATGCATACATATTCTATGATAATAAAGAATTCATAACCAATGTATACAATCCATACCAAATGCATACATATTCCACATCCAAACCAAAGTCACACCACTGTATAATCCCATGAAGTAGCCAACACATCCAAACCAAATGTTGGCCTCAACACATCCAAACCAAGTGTTGAATTTGTGAACATGTCACATGCCCATGTCACACACCTCAACTCTCATGGAAAATATACAATTGGGTTACATCGTTACGTAACCCTGGTGATCATGGCCACTTCATCCATCGGTATGACTCGGCCTTACCCCCATTACCGGTAGCAAATAGAATACTTAGAGGAGTACTTCAGAATCCACCTAACATCTGAAGTGGTTTATTATATAATCTTCAAAATGGTTTATTATATAATCTTCGAAAAAGGTTCCATATTGGAATCCTCACCATGGAACTCCCAAAATCCATATTTTCCCAAAGATTATATCCTGATCTCACCAAGAGATCTCCCAATCCATACCATAACCTTACTCCTCTAAGTCCTATTAGCTTTCCAAACCAAACACACATAGCATATTCCATAATTACATACAAACTTTTCCATAACCATGCCAAATTACTCAATATAACAACATACATAATTAAACACCCAAAACAACTATCAACTTAACCAAATCACTATTTGTGAAATGACAATCTTCACATAAAACAATGTATCAAGAGTTATATTACTCCTATCATGCTCATCTTTATCTCATATGAAATATAAGAAGATTTCCTACAACTCTTATGAAGACATCAAGTCCTAATTCCATCATCTACTTTGTTAAACATTCTAAAAACCGCAACAGCTATAACCAATGCTGGCAGCTTGACCCCTGTTCACTAAAACAGTCATATCTGGAGTTCTAGACCTCCTTTTTGGGTGATTCCAACGTCATTGGAAAGCTAACATCCAAGGCTACAACTTTTATGAATACTTCAAGACCAACATACTCATGCCCGGCGCACTAATATCCCTCTGGCGCAAAACTCAAACAGAGACCTGCAGAGGTCATTGCGCCCGGTGCAATATCAGTAACCAAAACACAAGGACCACGTCTGATAGTGCGCCTGGCATGGTTCTCCCCACGCCCGATGTGATTCACCCATAGATTCTCATTTCAAATTGGCAATGATGGGCTCTGATGAATTCACGCCCGGCGCCAAGAACTGCGCCCGGCGCATTTACAACGAGAAACCTTCGAAAACTTCGAAAATTCCTTCCAATCATGAATCCAATCCAAATTACATGAGTTCGAACCATTATAAAGCATAAACAATATCCAAAAACAACATTTTAAGCAATAAAATCAAGTGTTAACGATTAATCCATGGAAATCATGAAAAAACCCCAACCAAAACCCTTTCCCCTCAATTCATCCTTAATCAGGCATAAATCATGGAATTAATATGATATTTCAAACCCATACATACTAGATTAAGTCTTATAAGTACTACCCTTACCTTAGAAACCCTAGAAATGCAAGATTTGGACAAAACCCTCAAATCCTAACTTAAACTTTAATCTCACTTTTCAAGCTTCTAGAGGCTAAATCTCTTAATACTCTAGTTGTGAAGATCGATCCTGGCTTGATAAGCTTCCCAAATGTGTCCTCAGCTTCCCTTCGGACCAGAGCCCCTCTCTTTACTTCCACTCTCTAGAAACTGTCTCTGTTTGATAAATGAGATCCTCCGGTCCTAAGTCCTTATATATAGCCATTTTCCAAAATTTCAAAATTTCACCTAGAAATCCATTGCACTGAATGTACAAAAGACAAAGTCCACTCCAACATCCTCAAGAGTCCTAAAGGCAGAAGAGACATCTAATGAAAGTTGTAGTGAAGGTACTTGCGATACAGACGATGAGATATCCTTCTTATCAAGGAATATCCTCTCAATGATGAAAAAGAAGGGAGGAATACGATGGAGAAAATACAGCAGAACTCCCAAAGAGAAAGCACAACCACTGTGCTTTGAGTGCAAGAAACCTAGACACTACAAAATAGAATGTCCAGAACTAGAAAAAGAAAAAGAAAAAGAGAAAAAGAAGTCGATCTCCTATAAGAAAAAGAAGGCAATGATGGCCACCTGGGAGGACCATGATACCACGTCACCTAAGGATGATGTAGAAGCAAACATCTGTCTTATGGCAGACACAGACTCATCATCAGAATCTGATGATGAAGAGGTAACTAAATCTGACTTTAAAACTCTTGAGCATGCATATAATCAACTTTTGTCTGATTCTGCTAAAATCTCTACAGCCTATAAGAAACAAAAGAAAAAGATTTTTGAGTTACTTGAAGAAAATTTGCTTCTTAAAAATGAGAATGCAAAGCTATCAAGAGAATTCAAAAAATATTTTTCAACTTCAGAAGAAGTGAACAAACTTAACAAAGAAATTGACCTATTAAAATCATATTTGTCAAAATTCACTCTAGGAGCTAAAAATCTCAAACATCTTTTGAAATATTCTAGAAGTGGAAATAATAGATCTGGACTAGGATATGTTGAATCTGAATCAAAGATTAAAAAAAGAACACATAAATAAGTGTCTAATTAATCTGATGAAATATGAATTTGAGACACTTATCTAGCACAATTTTTGTACATATTGATATAATTTTGGTCTTTATATACTTAGAATCAAAGAGGGACTTTTGATGTATGTTAGGACAGGAGCGATGAATCTTTTGATCCAATTTTGTGTTTATTTTGTAGGTTTTGAAATCTGGAGGAAAATGGCTCAGCCATTCAAAAGGGCTGAGCGGATTCAAGCCAGAGAGCCTTCCAAAAGTGCACCAAACTGGAGGCGCTCAGCCACTCCAAGGCACTGAGCGATTTTGGCCCTAGAAGAAGGAGTGCTCTCTGCCTCCTAGGCGCTTAGCGGATCTGAGGCGCCCAGCCCCTTGTGCTTGCTTAATAGTGAAGAATCTCTAAGGCGCTCAGCGGGTCTCAGGGGCTCAGCCCTTCAGGTTACTTCATGGTGAAGAATTCTTCAAACCACTCAGCCGTTTCCCCCCCCCCCCCGTGCACAACAATATAATATTAATTTCATGCAATTTGAATTGTTTGAAAATCTATAAGTGTTTGTAGTTCCTATACGAAACCCTTGTTTATAGAGCAAAGTGATGATAGATGTTAATACCATGAATATGTGAAATTGAGATTGGATTTGAGTAATTAATTGTATAGTAGAGTAATATTAGGCTTTCATCTATGTTCTTATCGATTGGATTGGAAGAAGAGAGTTTGGATGTGAATTATGTCTTATTCACAAAAAATTAGTATGAATATACCTTGGTGTTTATGTAATTTTGCTATGCGTGACTAAGGAAATTGAATTCCATTGTTAGGGTTAAAAATCAGACATTTAGAGCTTTACTTTAAACTCAATAATAACATAAAAATGTTGAAGAATGACTGAGTTATGTGAGTTAAAAGAAGAACCTCATATTTTGTGCGCAAAATGTAACATGCACACATTATAAGCTTTTTGAGTAGACTTAAATGGTATAATTAGGTTTTTTAATCTTCATGAAAGTTGTAGCCCTATATGTTAGCTTTTAAATTCTATTAGAATTACCTAAAACGAAGGTCTACAACTCAAGTTATTGTTTAATTAGTAAGCAAGGGTCAAGCTATCATATTTAGGCTGAAATGTTACGATTTTTGTATTTTTGAAAAATAATATATGACAAATTTAACTCTTGAGGTCAACATAAAAGTATTAGATAACTGTCGTAGTTTCCTAACAAAATTAATATCAACTTGATATTATATATATATATATATATATATAGAGAGAGAGAGAGAGAGAGAGATAAAGTGTTTGAACTACATGATGTCTTAGAGGATTATATTATGGAAATGTAGTTTGTCAATGGTGATGATGAATAGCTTTACCATTTAAGTGTTGGATCCTACAAATGGTTTGACTTACCTATATCAACGTGGAGGAAAGAGAAATCATGATAGAAAACAATATTTTGTAAGTTATGTTGCAAGTTAATTGTTAATGACTTAAGGTGTTTTGGTGATAGTGATGTCTAAGGACTAGATGTGTGATATTGATAAGGCTACTAAACTAGTTAATCTATTGATTTAAATACTTAGTGATATTGATATCTTAGTGACTATGGTTGATATATTAACATGTGATTAGATGGCTTTATAATGATTTTATCTTCACGTGTATCAGGTGATGTTGTGTAATTGTTGTGCTTGAACTATGAACATGTGACTCTTGTACTAATTGATGCGAATAACTAAGTATGATATGTTGAGTATGTATTTATGTTAATCTTATACATGATTGATGTGAAGTTTTTGAATCGGTATTGGTGTTGGCAAGACATGAATGATGCAAATGGAATCTAATTGGCAAATCGTACGTTTGGCAAATAGTTGACTATGCACATTGAATTATAATATGACATTGAGTTTTTGTGATGTGCATCATATGCATGCAAAGGCCAAATCGAAATTCGTTATATATGCATTGTGTATATTTGTGATTAGTACATGCATGCAAATCAAAGTCTGTGTGCCTATTGCATCTCATATTTGCATGTGACTATATTTTGTTGAGTTTGAAGCCCTCTTGAAGATCTTTGTGAAGATTGAAGATGAAGTTTTAGTTTTGATATAGATATATTTAGTTTTGATTTAGTTTGCTTCATTTTGTATTGATTGTTAGTTAGACTTAGGCTTGAATGTGTTTGCTTATCATGATGAATTAATTTAAAAATTACATCTTGTTTTGATAAACATAAAACTCAATGTTTCTCATTTCATGTGAAAACATAATGTAAGAGATTACAAACTGTTTTGACATAAAATGCAACTTGGTTCATTCAAAAGAATTCAAGATTAAGTCAGGTAATAGATTACCATTTGAGGTAATAGATTATTGAAGCTTAGTTTTAATATGGAATTCGAAGTCCTCTCTATGGTAATAGTATACTTGCTAACCAGGGTTGACTAAGTTCCTATTATACAATGAATGACTTTAAGTCTTTTAAATTTCTGTTATATAATTTTATTGATCGATACATTTATGATACAGCTCCAGTACTTGGAATATAGGACTAAAATTACACAGGATTCTATCTTTTCTTCTTTATCCTTAAACCTATGCTACATAGTATACAATTATATATTGTCAAGAGTAGGACTAAGGATGAATGTTGAGGCAAGTTGCATGGATTGAGGACAAGTTACTATTATATAAAAAATTTCATATTTTTGTATCCATATGGCATCACACCTATATTAGATTCATAAGTTCTTTAACTTTCACCATTAAATTGTTATAGAAAACAAGTCGTTATTAAAGCACAAGTTGTGTCCATGATATCAAAAAGTAAGGAAATACAAAGATAGAAAAGAAGAAAACAATGACAGGAAACCCACAGCTTTTATCACCATTTGTGTTACATGGATACTGGAAGGGTACATGATCATTGTGTTTCCATTACTAATCCAGTGTGCTTCTCTCATCAGTCATCAGACAAGATTGAACTACAAAAGATATAAACTCTAAACAAATGTAGGAAGAGTAACTGGTTTTTTTTTTTCTCTGAAGAATGACCTTTCCAAAGAGAAGTATCCTTATGTAATATTTTGTTTCAGGCAAGAGACCTATTAGTAAAAGTGCATTATACTTGAATATTTTCATGTCAAAGAAGTCCACATCTTCAAAAAAATTTAATTAATGGTTAATTGGCCATTTCTTCTACAATGTATTCTTTCAGGTATCATCACACATACCATTTGAAAATGAGATACTAAAATTGCTCTGATGCAGCATTAATACAACCAAAAATAGGTAAATATATCTTCAAAACATTAATATATATACCAAGCCATAGCAAAACAAAGAATTTGTCTTGCCCTTCCCCTATACAGAAATCTAATATGAATACTGCTCATTACCACTTCTAGGTGTAGGAAGATACCATCCACATTGTGGTTAACAAAACAAAAAATATGGAGTTAATATACAGTTGGCCTTTGAAAGTGGTAGGTTGTGTTGCTTTCTTTTTTACTTACTACAAAAGAAAACACGTTGCTATGTATTTCAAACATGTCTAACCATGTGGTTTTTTTGCGTATTCTTTCCTAATAAAAGCTAATTGTTATGTACTGTAACTACAGTTTCATTCTAGTGTATGATATAAATATAAATAAGCAAAGTGACGGCTTATCATACCTTGCCTTCCTTTGTGAGTTTTTCCCTCTCTTCTACAACTATAATATTTTCAGGTGAGCCTTATACCTCCTTGTCCACCTATCCCTCAGCTTTGGCTGTTGTTGTTGTTGGTTGTGGTTCATGTTTTGGTTGTTGCATGAAGTTCCCAATAACAAGTTTTGGCTGTTGTAGTTCTCTTTCCAATCTAAAAAAAATGATTAGAACAAAACAGAAATGAAAGTATCTAGTGTAAATGAGTAATGGTTTTAAAATCTTGTTTGATCATATCTATGCATTTTATATATTTTACAATCGTTATTTTGTTCATAGTATCTAGGAGGCATTTAAAAAAGATTAGTTGAGTGTTTTTTCAACCAGAAAATAAAAATAAAGACAGAGAAGACAGCTACTGAATTACAAATAGTAGTCCCGTATTGTCAAAGTGTAATTCACAAAATGAATATGATTCCTATTTTCCTAGAACCTTGAAAGTTTAATCTGCTTCTAATATGAGGGTGTAATTGATTTACAGTTGATGCAAGTTGAAGAATCTTGCCCTGTCTGAGGAGGAATACACTAAAGTTCACAGCTTCAGAAGTGCAAAACAGATGTGGGATACAATAGCCCTGACCTACGAGGGATCCCTAGAGGTAAAACGCAAGATGCTAAGCTTGTTGGCGTGTAAGTATGAACTCTTCGAAATGGAAAAAATTGAATCTATCCAAACCATGTTTGGAAGATTTCAAACAATTGTAAATGAACTATCATTTTTAGGAAGAACTTATTGAATCCGCTCAGCCCTTTTGAATGGCTGAGCCATTTTCCTCCAGATTTCAAAACCTACAAAATAAACACAAAATTGGATCAAAAGATTCATCGCTCCTGTCCTAACATACATCAAAAGTCCCTCTTTGATTCTAAGTATATAAAGACCAAAATTATATCAATATGTACAAAAATTGTGCTAGATAAGTGTCTCAAATTCATATTTCATCAGATTAATTAGACACTTATTTATGTGTTCTTTTTTTAATCTTTGATTCAGATTCAACATATCCTAGTCCAGATCTATTATTTCCACTTCTAGAATATTTCAAAAGATGTTTGAGATTTTTAGCTCCTAGAGTGAATTTTGACAAATATGATTTTAATAGGTCAATTTCTTTGTTAAGTTTGTTCACTTCTTCTGAAGTTGAAAAATATTTTTTGAATTCTCTTGATAGCTTTGCATTCTCATTTTTAAGAAGCAAATTTTCTTCAAGTAACTCAAAAATCTTTTTCTTTTGTTTCTTATAGGCTGTAGAGATTTTAGCAGAATCAGACAAAAGTTGATTATATGCATGCTCAAGAGTTTTAAAGTCAGATTTAGTTACCTCTTCATCATCAGATTCTGATGATGAGTCTGTGTCTGCCATAAGACAGATGTTTGCTTCTACATCATCCTTAGGTGACGTGGTATCATGGTCCTCCCAGGTGGCCATCATTGCCTTCTTTTTCTTATAGGAGATCGACTTCTTTTTCTCTTTTTCTTTTTCTTTTTCTAGTTCTGGACATTCTATTTTGTAGTGTCTAGGTTTCTTGCACTCAAAGCACAGTGGTTGTGCTTTCTCTTTGGGAGTTCTGCTGTATTTTCTCCATCGTATTCCTCCCTTCTTTTTCATCATTGAGAGGATATTCCTTGATAAGAAGGATATCTCATCGTCTGTATCGCAAGTACCTTCACTACAACTTTCATTAGATGTCTCTTCTGCCTTTAGGACTCTTGAGGATGTTGGAGTGGACTTTGTCTTTTGTACATTCAGTGCAATGGATTTCTGTTTTCTCCCAACATCGTCTTGTTGTAGCTCCAACTCATGGACTTTAAGTAGTCTAGTGAGTTCCTCCAGTGAGAGCTTTTCTAAGTTTTTGGACGCTCTCAAGGCTGTGACCTGTGGTCTCCACTTCCTGGGTAAACTTTGAAGTAATTTGTCAATATGATCAAAATTATCGTAAGTTCTTCCTAAAAATGATAGTTCATTTACAATTGTTTGAAATCTTCCAAACATGGTTTGGATAGATTCAATTTTTTCCATTTCGAAGAGTTCATACTTACACGCCAACAAGCTTAGCATCTTGCGTTTTACCTCTAGGGATCCCTCGTAGGTCAGGGCTATTGTATCCCACATCTGTTTTGCACTTCTGAAGCTGTGAACTTTAGTGTATTCCTCCTCAGACAGGGCACACATGAGCGCATTGCGTGCTTTTTAGTTTAGCACGAATCTTTGCTTCTGCTCTTCATTTCATTGTGCCTTGGGTATCTCATCACTGGCTTCATTTCAAGGGATGTAGTTTCCTTTTTCCACAACGTCCCACATGTCTATATGACATGCATCAAAGAATGCAATCATTTTTTGTTTCCAGTAGTCGTATTTTGTTCCTCTGAAGAGAGGTGGACGATTTATGGCCTGTCCTTCGTTTTCCATGATCGTTTCTCCTGTAGTGTTAGATGCTCAACCCAAGGGGTCAAGCTCTGATACCAACTGAAGTTAGCGAAAATACACACAGAAGGGGGGGTTGAATGTGTGTGTGTGTTCGAAGGAAGATTTTTCAAAATCATTTTGCAAAAGATACTATTTTTTCTTTTAATACAAAGAATATTCAAGCATTGTTTAAAACTTGTGCAGGCTCATCTGACTTGAAAGCTTTTTGCATTCAATAAAACTGATCGCCTGCTTCAACAAACAAGTTGAGTAAGCATGTTTTCCGTCTGAAAGGATTTATCGTCCAAAAAAAATTGTTCCTTCAAAAATAGTGGACAAGTGTGTTTTCGTCTTATCAAATTGTTGAAATGAAAGTAGATGAAAGACGAAGTTTTTAAACAAGTAGTGTTTGAGAAATAGAAAAAGGTATGCACAGATTTTTAAACTGGTTCACTCAATCTGAGCTACGTCCAGTCTCCTACAACTGAAGGGTTCCACTAATCATAGAGGATTACAAGTATTCTCAACCACTTCTGGCTTGTCAACCTCACTTGTCGACGCTAGTATTCATAACCACTTCTGGTTCTCCAAGTATTCTTGACCACTTTTGGCCCACTAGCATCACTCACTAGCGCTAGTATTCTCAAACCACTTCTAGTTCACAAGTATTCTTTCAACCAACCTCTTCAGGCTTTACAGCAAATGAAGGTGTTGAGTGTGTTTGCAACTCTCACAGAGAGGATAGGATGGTTTCTAAACTCACTAAGGTGCGTAACCTTAGTTTTACAGGAATATGTGTCTAAGTGTTTTGTTTACTCTCGTAAAGAGGATAGAATATTAGCAAAACTCACTAAGATAAGCTATCTTAGTTTTTACACAGATATACAGGAAATGCTTTCAGAAGAAATGTAGCTTATTCTTTTTCACTTTCTCTTTCTTAAATTCACATTTTCTCTACTTCTCAGTTCTCTACTTCTTCTTCTTTTATGCCTTGATACTTATAGCCTGTTGATAAATTTGCCCGTTGTTTGAATTCAAATTTTCCTGTTGGAGCGGAGCTTCATGTCGTTGCAGATGAAGGCTTGTTCATGGCTATGTAAATCTTTTCATTTAATGCATTTGATCTTGCATTAAATATTTGCTTGTATACGTGAAGTCCTTCTGTGTAGTTGATTATTTCAATGTCTAACTTCAATCATGATCTAGGCATATTTGTACTTTTCTCATCAGTTTAGCTGTTGAGGTGCTGTTTGTTTCTGAAAAATAAGTGTCCTTTTTTTCTGACACACACAACTTTGACTTGTGAATCCATGCTTGCCTATTTTTCTTCTTTCTGTATTCATGTTCGGTGTCTTTTTGTGTTTCTTGTATGGTTTCACTCAATGTGATTAGTGGACTTCAGACGCGCTTCATTATTTTTCAATTGCATCTGGATACTCATTTTAGTTTTGATTCTTCATCTAGTCTTGACTACCCTTTCTGTCTGGTAGTGATGACTTCGTCTGCTTGTTTGTTAGGCTCTATCTGATGATTTTGCAAATCCATGTTGATGTTTATCTAACTCTCATCCCGTTCTTGACTTAGTCTCATATGATACCTGTTTTGGTCTTACGTCTGATCCCTTAAGCTTTAGCTGATAGATTCGTCTTATCTTGTATTTGATTTGGGCCTGGATCAACCTTAGTCTTGATACTAGTTTTGTTATCGTCTGATGTCTTGTTCAATTCGATACTAGTGATGACTTCGTCTGCTTGTATGTTAGGCTCTATCTGATGATTTTGCAAATCCATGTTGATGTTTATCTAACTTTCATCCTGTTCTTGACTTAGTCTCATATGATACCTGTTTTGGTCTTACGTCTGATCCCTCAAGCTTTAGCTGATAGATTCGTCTTATCTTGTATTTGATTTGGGCCTGGATCAACCTTAGTCTTGATACTAGTTTTGTTATCGTCTGATGTCTTGTTCAATTCGATGTGTATTCCTCCTCAGACAGGGCACACATGAGCGCATTGCGTGCTTTTTAGTTTAGCACGAATCTTTGCTTCTGCTCTTCATTTCATTGTGCCTTGGGTATCTCATCACTGGCTTCATTTCAAGGGATGTAGTTTCCTTTTTCCACAACGTCCCACATGTCTATATGACATGCATCAAAGAATGCAATCATTTTTTGTTTCCAGTAGTCGTATTTTGTTCCTCTGAAGAGAGGTGGACGATTTATGGCCTGTCCTTCGTTTTCCATGATCGTTTCTCCTGTAGTGTTAGATGCTCAACCCAAGGGGTCAAGCTCTGATACCAACTGAAGTTAGCGAAAATACACACAGAAGGGGGGGTTGAATGTGTGTGTGTGTTCGAAGGAAGATTTTTCAAAATCATTTTGCAAAAGATACTATTTTTTCTTTTAATACAAAGAATATTCAAGCATTGTTTAAAACTTGTGCAGGCTCATCTGACTTGAAAGCTTTTTGCATTCAATAAAACTGATCGCCTGCTTCAACAAACAAGTTGAGTAAGCATGTTTTCCGTCTGAAAGGATTTATCGTCCAAAAAAAATTGTTCCTTCAAAAATAGTGGACAAGTGTGTTTTCGTCTTATCAAATTGTTGAAATGAAAGTAGATGAAAGACGAAGTTTTTAAACAAGTAGTGTTTGAGAAATAGAAAAAGGTATGCACAGATTTTTAAACTGGTTCACTCAATCTGAGCTACGTCCAGTCTCCTACAACTGAAGGGTTCCACTACCTTCCAGAACCGATGTAGAACAGTGTTTTTGTAGTAGTGTATAAACCTCTCAAAACATCCACCTCTCATCTCATACTATAAAATCACTACCATGCTTAAACAACTAATCAAAATCACATCAACATACAACATGCACAGAGGTAAGTACATTTCAAATCCACATCTCCATAATCCAATCCAAATCCATATAAACAACATATAAATACATGCATACATACATATATATATATAGAGTATATCTACCAAATAGCTTGGTATTTCCATGACGTTACATAGTCTGTGATCTTTGACATGTCATTGACTCTTTACCCAATAGACATAGGATATTATCTCTTATCTACCATTTTATTAATTAAAAAAATACAAAAATCTCAAATTTAAATTCTATATTTCATTTATAATAATGCATAAAAAGGATGCACTTTTTTAGTATCCACTTTTTGAATGATATTTATACTTTTATTTCATATTCTAATTTTTCTCCACTAATATATTTCTTAAGAATGAAATAAGAAAAAAATTGTGTATATGAAAGATAATTCTTTGCTCCACTAATATACTTGATTTGCTTATTCAAATATGATTGCTTTTTATAAAAAAAAATATTTGTAATATTATATATAT